TATTTAAGACACGATCTTAAATATAAGAATGTACTGTAAACAAGCCTTAATGCGCACTCAGTGCGCACTAGTGCAAGCTACCGAATTCGCTATCAGTCAAAGTGATAGTAGTGCAGTAGATAAGGTAAACGACTCAAGAACCAGAGATCTTAAGGTACCTTTACATGGGAGCATCGAGCGTCGAGCGTTGAAACGGTAACCAATCAATATAAAATACTGGATAATAAGTAATTATCAATGATTCTTAGTATGATATTTCTATAAGAAAGCTATACATTTTTCCCACCTGCCTGACAATTTGTGGATGCCACGCCAAAAAAACTATTGCTCTTTTGAGGCAAACCAGTTATCAAGTCATTTTCGTACATTTTCGTAAGAAGTGAAGCGCTGCTTAGCAAGTGCGTGTCCCATCGATGCAAATAAAGAGTAATTGGACGGAGCCAAGTCTGGTGAGTAAGCCGCATGCGAAAGTATTTCTCAACTAAATCGTTCCTCAATCATTTCCTTGACCAGTTTTGCTGTGTGTGATGGTGCATTATCATAAAGAATTTCTTCCATTTTATTAAATATATTTTTAAAGTGAATTATTATTTATTACAATTTAATAAATAACCTTTTATTGTAAGTAAAATATATTTGAATAAATGTATTTATTTAAATTGAATAAATTTTTTTTCAGTGCATTGTAAATCGAAGTCGTCGGATTGCTCTTTCATCTCGAAGATATATAGAAATGAAAAAGATACAAGATCCCGTATCTCTCTCACTTCTATGCATTTTCGAGGTAAAAGAACAATCCGATGTCTTCGATTTACAATGCCAAACGCAGCTTATATGTACGATATATACATATTAAAACCATTAATGTTTTTATATAGTATATATCGTCATGTATATTCATCTTACGTATATAAAATGTATGTGCAGATATACAGGATGTTTTTTCACATCATGAAGCATTATGAAGCTCCCCAGATAACAAATATTTTTTTATATTTCAAATTAAAGTTTCTTTTATTATCAAAAAACAATTTATTTAAATTTACAAAATGATTTATTTGTATCTTATCTACTTTTAAAATAAGTAAATATTTTTTAAATATACTTTTTAAACATACATTTTACATTTAATTTATATTAAAATTATTTATTTTCTTCTTTAAAATAAATCATGTGTTTTCGTACATGGATATATCATATGTATATACAAAGCGTTTTTCAGTCAAAGTGATAGTAGTGCAGTAGATAAGGTAAATGACTCAAGAACCAGAGATCTTAAGGTACCTTTACATGGGAGCATCGAGCGTCGAGCGTTGAAACGGTAGCCAATCAATGTGCTACTTTTCGCAAGAACTACAAGTATACTTCTGGGACATTGATTGGCTAACGCTTTAACGCTCAACGCTGGGACGCTCCCATATATTGGCACCTTAAGGTTCGAATCTCGGCAATGGTAAGCAAATTTTCGAAGTACAATTTAACTTGAATTAAGTAGCGTGTATAACAATATAAAGTGAAAACTAAGAACTAAGAACATATAGTTTATAAATACTTTGTGCTGTCTGGGTTATATATAAACAAATATTTTTTTTTACATACATTATTTATATACAATGTATGTTTTATGTATATACGTTACATGTGCTAATGCATATTAACATTTATGGGTTATGTATATTCAGAGAATATACAGAGTGTATATACAGGGTGTCCCATTTTAAATTACGCACCTGAATATCTCGTCAGGGGAGCCACCAATCCGAAAATAACCTTTACAAAAGTTGTTGGGTTTAGAGGGGGACATCGGATGGTGATTTTCAATTTCACCTTGATCTTTACTTTCAAGGTTATTTGAAGATCAAATCGAATTTTTAAATAGAAACCCTTATTTTTTTATCCCGGATTCGAAAAGAGCGCAAAATTTTACGTTTAGATGGGTACTTGAGATTCTTCTTTGGAATGACCTTCAGAGGTTATTTCAAGGACAAAATATTTGAAATTACGCACCTGAATACATATCTTGTCGGGGAGCAACCAACCCAACCCTTACAAAAGTTATTGGGTTCCGAGGGGGACATCGAATGGTGACTTTCAATTTCACCTTGACCTTGACCTTTAAGATCATTTCAAATCAAATTTTTTAAATAGAAACTTTAAAGTTATGTTAAGAGTCGAA